AAAGGTACAGCACACAACAAACAAAAAAAATTCTCAGCCAAATATTGTAAAAATATATAACCAAAATATGAAATAGAATGGATCAGAACGAATGTATCTATTAGAGATAAACAATAGTATTTTGTTGATTAAAATATACCTGATTGACCATGCATTATATAATGCATGGGAATTGCTTAAATTGTGCAAAAATTAAGAGAAAATGGATCTTATAGTTTTTGGCAACATGCTGCTAACTTTTATATACATAGATATGGATCCAACCCTCATGTTTCCAAAACATCAGAAAAGCCAATTGAACTTCGATATGATGGATTAAATCATTGGGTAATACAATACAAGAAAAGCAAATGAGGTGTGCACATTGCCATCAGAAAACTACAATCCAATGTGAAGAATGCAACAAGTGGTTATATGTAAATACTTCAAAATGTATCATGAAAATAAATAGATTTCTGCAAAAATGAATGAATAAAATTATTCATAATTTTATGTTTTATTAAATACATTAATTTTAAAGATTTGATTACATGTCTGGTATAAAACATTTCTAATTATATGTATTAATTAGTACATAAAAAATTTCAAATTTGGCTGTTTTATGTAATCTAATATTTAAATAAAAAATTTGCAAAATCAACATTTAATCATGTTTTGATCAAGGTTCAGTGACTCGATGATATCATCATCTATCCATAGATAAGATACAGTACAATTTCCTAAAGTATTAATTGCCTAAACTTAATACCGTATATCCGTAACTGATAGTTTTTATATTTAATCCAAGTCTATAACTGAGTACATTATTATTACACTATAATTCTTCAGTTGCAATATTGTACATTATATAGTCTTGAGTCTTGAAAATAATTGTTTTATAAATTCTGCATTAATATATATTAAAATAAAAAATTTATAAGATCAAATTATATGAATTATCTCTTATATAATATGATAACATATGGTTATAAAAAAAATAGAAAATTAATCTTTTTCTTTAATTTCAAACCATTTGTAAGAAAGTATTTTTGACATTACTTCAATTATTTTATAAAAGTAAATCAAAATGATCTTCAATAGCTATTGAAATCTTATTACCAGTTTTATTCAAATTATAGCCATGGCTATATTTTAAACTGAATTTTCTCTGTTGCTACTATTTGCAGGCAGTTGTTATTTCCTTTGCAAGCACCCATTTGATAGCCATTATTAATAAAGTATTTCAATATTTATTTATGAATGCTAAAAATTTAACTACTAACTTAAGAACTCAAGAAAACAAGTAAATGATATTTACAGATTACCTGTATCTTTTTAACTGTATTATCATATACAGTATAGATAACTTCTTTTGTCTTTTTCAATACAGTTAAAATAAAAACAGTATAATTTAGCAGAAATTTGAAATACACAAATTTGTGTATTTCAAATTTCTGTATTTGTGTATTAAATTAAAATATTTGTGTATTTAAAATTTCATAAAAGACTGAATTTTATATGCTGATTTTTTTAACATTCTTACATCAACTTGCATAAAAATTTTGATTAAATTACTGGTTTGATCAATCCACAAGTGTTTGATGGCAATAGAAGCAGCAACAATTAAAAAAATTAAAATGATAGAACTCTTTCATGAATTTACCAAATTATCACAATACTGGATTAGCTTTGCCACTATGACACTGATGACAAATCTATTAACTGATAAAATGCAAAAATGCATATTTAAATTTATATAGCATTTATTTTATAATACACTAAACTTACATATACTGTACACAATTATGGTGGTACTTCCCAAATAAAACTGAACTTTATAGAAAATGAATTGATTGTTAGACTAACAGCACAAAACCGAGTGTACCCGAGGAAGGCCTATTAAGAAGGCCGAAAACGTTTGTACTCCAGTTAATAAGGCTAGAAATTAGTGAGAAAGGTTTTGTGCTGTTAGTCTTAGAAATAGTTCTAGCTACATATGCATAGTAGAATTGATTGTTTATCAAATAATAATTAAATAATATTTAACAGTTAAATAAACGTCTTGTGATATTTTAAACTAGCAAACACCAAATCACAGCAATGAATGAAATTAAGTAAAAATACAGTTATATTATAAATATGTAGTAAATACTTTCATCTTATATAACAAAACTTTTGAAAAAAATAATTATTCTAAAGGATGTAAGCACTTCACAAATGTTATTGGCAGTTTGCTTTTGCTAATATGTAAATGAAAATTTACAATCTGCTTATGAAAGAAATTATTTTGTCACACCAGATTTTTATCAAATAAAGACTGATCTTAAACTTTTATCTGACAATCTGTTTAATTTTCAATAATTTAACATTTCATCTAACAAATAGTGAATCATTACAAAATGATTAACTTTATCTTAGTTACTAAAATCCTCATACATCATACATAAATAAGATGATTTACTAAAAACTGTATTATTAATTATGTGTATTATAAAAAAAAACAAAAATTACATACAGTCGACCCCCCCTATAATTACGATTCCTATAAAACTACGAAAAAATATACGTATTTTGGAAATGTTGAGTCGGATTAGTGTAGAATCGATTAATTTTACGGAAGAAAATCTTTCAAACAGCCGTAGTCCGTAAACTTGACACATGTAGGGCTGTGATTGGAACGACTTGTAAGAAATTGGATTCCTAATAAATTGGAACGTATCTATATCTTATAGGGGGGTCGACTGTACTGAATAACATGCCAGAGGATTAAAATAAAATTTGCTATTTATATTATTTTCTACATATGTTAATTTATATGTTAAAAAACCTTGTTATTTTTATAAATTAATTCTTCCATCTGAGAAAATGTCTGTTCATTTTCTTTAACTCATTTAGTATATTAGGCCCAATACAAGATGAAATATTTGGAAATGCAGATATTAATATTGATAGTTTGTTTGTACCAGTTAGTTATGTTACTCTGTAAATTGTTCTATCTTTTTTTGTTAAAGCAAATAAGTTTTCTATTTTTTCCCCCCCTTCTACTAAGAAGTACAATAAATATTATTTATATTAAATAATAATTATTTATGTAACTTAATTAATTGTTACATTTTAATAAAAATATTTCAATTTTCATGTTATTGAAAAATCTCATATAAAAATACTTAAATATGCAAAACTTTTTAATATAAAAAAGTATGTAAAATAAAATATATATATATATATATATATTAGTATCTATCTATATTATTATAAATTATTATAAAACAGTTATCAAATTTATTAAAACAGTAAGCAAATTCTTACATATTTGTTATTCTTTTCTGCATTCAATCAATTTCAGAAAGTCAGGATTTTGCTTATCATTGTCTAATATTAGTCAATTTTTTATATAAAGTGTTACCTTGAATCTGAAATACTATTTATACTTTCCAATCAACAATATTGAAATTTTCTGAAATTCTCCATACGTACAAGCAATTATTTATTGTGGCATCATCACAGTGCTGTGCTGCAATTTTTAATCATATTTTTAATTTATTTCATTTAAAATATACTCTCTCCACCTGAAATTAATACTGTAGTGTCTTGCCCCTGTACAGTACATTGTACTTTTCTTTTAACAATAGAGTTATGCCAGTCAACTATCTAACACCTTTCGGAGAAAATTTTTAAATTGAAATAATGACTTCCAGTTTGCATCAGAAGTGCATATATAGTTAATCGGAGCCTTCTGCCCAAGGTTTCCATATCTGGTCTTGTCTTTCATATATCTAACTCTGTTCTCAAGATTAAGGAGAGACAGACAAGTGACAGTGGAAATTTATGTCTAACAATTTTTTAAATTGCAGCCCAATAATATGCAATTGGATTGTTTCAATAGCTTTAAAATAGATTAGGTTAGGCATATGGTTTTATTTGTATCAAAAGTCAGGTTCTACCCATTGCAATTATATGTTTCCATTTGTATTTTTTTTTTTTTTAAATAAAAATGCAAAACTATTATATTCTCCAGCAAGATTTTCTTAATAATAAATGTTATTTTCTTCATTTTATATTAAATTTGTAAATACTACAAGTGACATTTAACATACAAAATAGAGATTATACATATTGACGAGCATCCATAGAAAATTTTCCAATAGGAGGGCAAAGCTTGAAGACAAATAATTAAATTATTACTACTATTTAATTTTTTGGATTTTCTCACTAGTTTATAGAATATAGTATTGCATCAATACAAAACAACAGAGTATCTCATAATTGAGGGTGTAAGGTTACCTATCTCAATCACTTTTACAATTGTAATTCGTGTAATTTTTTACTCGATCCCCTCTGCAGATAGCCAAGTACGTACCGGTATATTCCTCACGTCGGGACCGTTCCAAATAATTCTGGAACCCAAGGCAAAACTAAGAACCACGCCATTTCTACAAACAATATTGCTCCTTTTTAATAATAATCCTTCCAATTTGACATCAGAGGAAATTACCTCTCCGCTTTAGAAATAGAAGAAAAAGCATATACGTTAAGCGGTATCAGCACGACACCGCTTAACGTATATGTTTTTTCTTCTATTTAACTATATTATTTACTCGATATCGAGAATTGTAGGAGTTTCATTTCAACACACCTGCCTATTAAAGAATATTTCAATTTATTTAAACACGGATTTAGGAAATAAAAAAAATAATTATATTTATAATAAATTGCTTTTACGAAGGTGACGAATCTCACGTTGTTTTCGTGTAAATTGAATAACCGTGAAGGTCCTTGATCACGATGTTGTTGGGATCATAACTTTTCAGTCACGCAACTGATTATAATTCATGTTTTAATTAAATATTCTTGACTAAATGTTATTATTTTATGTACGTGTAACGATTAAAAGGCAATTTTTAAATCTTATTCTGTAATATTTCTTGCTAGTGCAATAACTTCAACCAGAGCAGAAACAATCACTAATATTCGTGATAGACTGCTGTGATCTAATTTAACTTAAAAATTGTCGTGCTTACCAATATTTTCAGCATATTAAAAAGTTTATAAATAATCTATAACTTGGAAGAACTTTATGACAAGGGCAGGAAACTTCGTTCGGCATTTCGGTTACAACAGCGACATCTAATGGCAATAAATGTTCTAACAAATTTAATATTTTATCGAAAATTTAAAAAAATTAAATAAGCAGAAAAAAAATTTGAATGAGACAAACGCATTTATAGATGCATATATGTATAATATCTAAGAGTTTACTCTTCATTTAAAACACTACTAAAGACAGTAGTACAGGAGTAAACGTGAGTTTGCACGATTCGGGTTCCCCTAATATCGGCTCTAGTTACGTTACCACTTGTATTCATTCCAAGTGTTATTTTTATGTGTATTAATATCATATCACATTATATTATTATTATTTTAAATGTGACAATATATTATATAATTATACAAAGTATAATTAGTAATTAGAGAAATAACGAGTTTTAAACTAAATATCCAAGGATTAAGTTATTGCTTCTGTTCCTTTAAATATTTGTTTATTAATATTAGTCTATTGTGACTACATTCTATTAATAGGACTTATTTATACTGATTTAACTTGCGGGTGAAATTTCATCACAAGTTAAATCAGTACAATATCGTCACAATAAACTAATATTAAATAATGAGTTTATATACAGTTTATCATGAAATTTTTCTATATATAATTTAAATTATTATATGAATATTTTAGAATATAAACTTAATTACATTTTTAAAATATTAGATGTTTGAGAATCGATTTTATCTGCAGGCAACATAAAAGAAACAAATCCACATATGTAAGTTAAAAAGAAAAAAGAAATGTCACGATTTTGAAATATGTTTCCTCGAATATTTCCTTTCAGATGTATAGTCAAGTCTCATGTATCGTCCTAAAAATTTTTACATCGATTTATTTAAATTGAAATATATAAAACTGAAATATATGAAACTTCAGACTTTCGAATAATCATTTAAATAATATACATTTTATATAAAAAAACGGATCAGGAAAACCATAATAATCTTATAAAATTTCATTTTATTATCATATCTGTAAATTGCAATAAATTACCAAATGTATTCGTACGAAGTAACGTAGAAAATTTGTCGAGAATATCATAACGATACATTTTTTTTGTTCTATACTATTGATCAGTTTTATAAAATAAAAATATTTTACTAAAATGACTTCAAACAGGGCGTATCCAAGAGCGTTTACGTGATTTAAAACCTTGTAGTCCCCCTTTACGTTCCTCATTAACTTCAAAACGTTGTTGTTAAACACATATATAATAGTAAATATATTGTAGCGGAACGTCGTGCACGAGTTAATAAAAGGTCCTTATTAATTATTGAAATATTTTAAATTTTTGAACCCCTTTGGGTTCTTCTGGACTGGCTTTGATATTCCAGAATATGTAAAATTTAACATCACACAATTCATGTTGCATATAACTTCATTATGTACTCTTAATTATAATTTCACTACTCTGTGTTGTTTTATTATGTATTACGAATTGTACAAATTAAAAATTGCATATTTCTAATAAAATAACTGTATAATGAGCTAATTTATAATCAATTATTGTATTACAGGCATTAAAAGATTTTATTTTTATTAAATAATGCTAAAAAATATGAACAATTCATTTTATATATACTTTCGTATTAAGTATTACAGAGTTTCTACAATAAAAAATCATTATCAAACAATTACAATAAATTTTGTACTAATTAGATTAGATAATTTGACTATATTTATTCGAAAATATTAATTGTGTCGTAAAAATAATGTTTTAAAATAATACATAAAATTGTAAATACAAACGAAACATTAAATTTAAGTGAAAATAAATTTTTCTGGGTTATTTTTACGAAAATTTTAAATGCAAAGCAGATTTTTTTGAAAGGGAAAAAAATTAAATTTTTCAACAACTCGGAACTAACTTTCATACAAAACTTAATTAGAAAACTTTTATTTCTTGAAAGTTGTTTTGTTTTTTGATTTCAAAGAGTACAAGAAATTGCATTGAAAAAAAAATTCCAATGATATTGGAAAACGTTATTTAATTACATCTGTAGGCTGCTGTATTTAAATTTAACCGTGCTATAATTATTAACATATAATTTGAAAAAAAAATTGTAAAATAATAAGTTTATTGTGATTAAATACAACATTAAAAGCCCTTAGGTTAGAAAAACCATTTNTACAGGTCACAAGGTGTCAATTAACTACTATGGCCCGCGGAGAAAACGTAAAATTTATTCTGGCCCATGTTATAAAAAAGGTTGCCCACCCTTGGTATAGTTGATAGGAGTTTTAAAAAATCCATTAAAATATTTGATATATTTATTCGGTCAAAGTATACCTAGGTATACTTTAACCATTTATTCTGCTTTTATTACGCTCTCCCATTTTGTATTACAGTACTTACAGATTTCAATGTTAAACTAGAGTGATATTACGATTTAGTATGTCCCATCTCTAAGGGAATGCAGAAAAAAACGTGCACAATTCTTGACAATGTTAAAAAATTAACTGTTACTTTAGCAGCATCATTTACAACTAAATTTAATGAATGAGATGCACAAGGTACAAAAAAAAGGCCTTAGAATTTATATTCCTTAAATTTACGATTTATGTATCGTTGTCATAAAATTTGTCTTTCCTCTTCTTTCTCAAGACTACTGTGAGGTCCCAAAAAACGGTTAAAATTAAACATTTATATTAGAAATTTATTAAAACAAAACTAGAGAGGAAAAACCTCCATTGTTAAAACCGATCAAAGATCGGATTCAGTTGTGCTAGTCATATGAAACCGAGACAAGAGAAAAATACTATTAACGTAAGACATGACACAATAAATGTNAAAAACCTCCATTGTTAAAACCGATCAAAGATCGGATTCAGTTGTGCTAGTCATATGAAACCGAGACAAGAGAAAAATACTATTAACGTAAGACATGACACAATAAATGTAAACGAGCGTTCTCCAGTAGAGATGGATCTTTCACAAGATGATCGTATACAAATAATTAGAACATGGAAAATCTTGAAGAGGGGAAAGGTTAATTATAAAAGGGGACATCGCATCAGGTCGTTAAATTCTAAGACGTCATAGACTAGACAACAATGGGGTAAAATGAGCGCAAGTTCAAAGTCCCATCTACACCTTCTATCCAGAGTTAACGGATGGTGTCAGGTAAACTCCCCAAAGCGAACCTTCTCGGGACCCGAACAGGCCTCGTCTTTCGCTAAGGTACAAACGTGAAACCAATCAGGATGGACAAAAAGGGGAGATCGGAGATTGATGTAATCCCCGATCGGCACTCGGCGAGCTAACGCAAAAGGAGTGAAAATCGGAAGCGCTGTGTCAACAAACACTGGAGACGAATCTTTTCCGTCTTGATGCCGATGCCGACGTCGGCCAACGGAGTCTCACGAACTGTTTATCAACACTGCCAGGGGGTAACCTATATAACAAACAACTAAAGGAGCATCGACGCTAGCGACTTCCAACTAGTCAATTGTATTTAGAAAATATTTGTTTCTTAGTGTAAGTTTATTTTTCTGCTAAAATAAACGGGTTTTTGTAAGATACTTGTCATCTCTGTCTCCTCCTCCACACCCACACGCGAACATCGCTAGATCATCCTGACAGGGGGATTAACGATCCTCCCCTTAGAGTCGGAAAACTTACATTGGTACGAGAAGTGGGATTTTTAGCTCAAAGTTACACTGGTGTCTGCGAAGCGGGATTTTAAGTCCCTAATATCCACCAGGTCAGCGAACTTACACTAAAAATATTCAAGTACAAAGTAACCGGTTTTAACTTATTTCTACTTAAGAAGTAGTTAAATAATTCAGAGATTAAAGAATTAGGGATATAAATAAAACCATGCTGAAAGAGCCGAAATATTACTTAAAATGGCGTCAGATTAACGAAATACAGTCGATCCCCCATAAGACGGTAGATACGTTCCGTTCTTTATGAATCAATTTTGTAGGAATCACAGCCAATCACAGCCGACACGTGGGAAGTTTACGGACTACAGCTGTTTGAAAGGTTTTCTTCCATAAAATTAATCGATTCTAGACTAATCCGACTCAACATTTCCAAAATATGTATATTTTTTGGAAATAATCCGTATGAAACTACGCTATAAACAAAAAATTGTAGGATTACTTACCGAGTGTGCACCATTCGACATCGCCATTGCTAAAGCTTGTTTTCGTCGCGGAACAGCTCAGCAAATAGCGGCCGATTTCTAACAACTTATTTTTCTGCGAAAACTTCGTTGAACTTTGGAGACATCATTAATATAAATAATTTTAATCGCCGTTGAATAAGAAATGTTCTTTTCCAAAGANAGGATCATTATTTATTAATATTTGCTGCTTTCGTAACTTATTCGTACATAATTTTGTAAGGTATCCCCATGGATTGGATGAGGCAGCAGTGCAGTAATTACGCCAAGATTGTATTTTAGCGTTCTTTATTTCTTTTTTATAGACAACTTGATGTGCATAATATTCTTGCTTATATATAGCACGATTCGGTTCATATCGACACTTTTGATATCGTCTTCGCAGGTAATTGTTCATTTTTCGGAGGTCAGTGAGCCCGTCATTCCACCAGGGTACAGATTTTGATCTAGGATTGGTTTTAGGGATATATCTATGGCATGCTTGTTCAATTACCTTGATATTGAAATCGAGAGTTTTTTCGATGGTTTCTTTGTTAGTAGTATTATTGATATTATTATATGTCGATAGGTTGTTTGATAGATAGCTTAGCATACTTTCCCAATCGGCCAGAGCTAGGTTAAACCTAGGTTTATTTGCAGAGGCAATTTGCGCACTGTCATTGCTTTTAAGCTGGAATGAAATGTAAGCATGGTCACTGAGGCTATTTTCAGAGTGAACTCTCCAGTTTTCTAACTCAGTAATACATTCTGAACTGCATACTGCAACATCTATCCATGTTTCCCCATTTCTAGCAACATAAGTCGGGGGGGATAGCGGGTTATTTAATAATTGTAAACCATTAGAAGCTATAAAATTTTCAAAAATATCTCCACGGTTGTCATGTTGCTCACCACCCCATGCAGGTG